TGAAATTTGATAAATATAATTTTCAGGGTTTTCAGATCTGAAAATAATTAACAATCTCTCAAAATAAAATTAAACAATAAAATCTATGAAGGAATTAAAATAAAATAACAAGTCAAACTCTTCAATTAAGATCTTCCCTAATTTTATTGAAAGTTTAGTTGCCCTTTGACATAATTCTCTAACCTTGAAGAAGAAAATAGAAGTCTGGTAGCAGCCTCTCCAGTCCCTTGGAACCCCCTCTAAAATAACTTGGATGGGTATTTATAGAATCTTAGAAACCCTAATTAGAATGGATGTGGGGCTGGGCCGAATTACCGCGCAAGGGGTCGACACTCTTTACAAGGTGCCGGCACTTTGAGTGGAGCGTCAACTGCAACCCCGTGTCGGGTTTTTGGCCTTTTGTGCAATTTTGGTTAATGGCAGAATAACAGTCTTGGTCCCTGACTCGTGGATTCTGAGCAAGTTGATCATCATATTTTTTATCTTTGCAATTTGCCCCTTGCATTTAAGTCCTTTTTCTTCTAATTCTCCATTTAACATCAACCTTCAATCACCTTAAAATTTGCACAACATGAATAAAATGAAGATTTATGAAATTACCTGTAGAAAAATAAAACTTTTAAACCCATAATTCCACAAATGTCAATGGTTAAGCACATTTTAAATATACATTTTCATGCTTTCATCACTGAGAACTGGGTTTTGCACTAATTTGATGCGTTTACTTTTGCCGGGCCATTCACCCAATGCCCCTACAACAAACTAACAATCAAAGGTCTAGTTTCATGATTCTTATGATTGTTCCAATCAGAGGAAAGATGCATGTGAGGAAGCATTGGTGAATGGTCCAAGATTTTCCTGAATCCAAGAATAAATTAAATGGTCTTGAGCAGGTATGTGTGGTTTATTAAACATCTATCATTTCTTTGAATGTATGTTACCCAGTTGAGAGTTGTTTCACAATATCCCCAGTTTTGTGTGTGTACTCAGGTGCACGTCGTCCCTAATTGAAGCGTCAAGGCATGAACCTACTGATGATGGAGATCTCTTCTAGCATCTGCTTGTAGAAGTAAAATCAAATATATATTTATATATATCCAAGCAAAATGTTCCCACCCTGCAATTTTATGATTCTATCAAATGCCGCTTGGAGTTCATAAATAAAACTGGTGAGTTCTCAAATCGTCATGATTTTTTCTTAATGACAAACCTTTTGGGTTCCAATTGCATAGCTCCTGATTTATTTTGTTTGGTTCTTATTTCGGACAAAATTCACAGGTCATCTTGATACCTCTCTAAAGGACTTTAGCAAAAAGCATCGAGTGATATTCAAGCCCTGGTAATGCTAGAATTCTTTTTGAAGATTTTACTATTGTTGTAACCCTCTAGTTTTATATGGAGAAGAAACTTTGTAGGAATGTTATTTCCAAAGCGGGAGTTTCCATCTGGATTTCCCCGTAAAAAGATTTCATTGTGTGGCCGAAGGCTGACGTTCATGGGAGATTCAGTGCGATTTGGAAGTTTGGAAAGTCATTTTTTTTTTATATATATAATACTGGGTCTTCATTAATAAATTTCAAGAAATACAAGTCAGATGACAGTGGAAAACGTAACACTTTAATTTCTGCTCAATACCAGTTAAGATTTCTATAGTTGATCAAGTTAGGTGTAAGCATTAGGAACGGGTGTATTAATTATTTCTAAGTATTTTATTTATTTAGATAAGTATTTTACCTGAATTTTAAAAAATAAATAAATAATAAATATAAAAATAATATATTTGTAAATATAGTAATAAGTGTAAGAGTTCAAAATTGTTTGCTTGAAGTGTTTAAACGTTTTATTTAATTGAC